CAATTCTCGCGTACTCGTTGCTCGCCCATTCGTGCGCATCAACGATCGATGCGCCCTTTTTGCGTTTTAGCTCTCCAAGTCCACTAGCCTCCCTGGTCACAAACTCCACTTCCGTATCATTCCCCTCCTCTTCAAGACTTTCCTTGTCCCCAAGGATTAGAAAATTCAGCTTCCCATCTCGACCATCCCCGTTATCTTCATCAGGTGACTCGCCTGGATCCTCAGTCCTCAACTTGACCCTCTTGCTCGATCTCCCGAACTCCATAGTTCCTTTCCAATAATCAGTTGTGATTGGACCAAGAGTCTCCAACCACTGGCATCCAAGCACTATATCAGTCGCCTTCAATGGCAAGGCATAGAGATCCACTCTCATCCTTTGGCCTTGAGCCTTTAACTTTACACCTTTGAATAGAATATCTCCTCGCAGTGCTTCCCCGTTTGCAACCTTGACTCCAAAGGGTTTCACTTTGGTGAATGGAATCTCGATTTCCTTGGACAACTCCTCATCAATGAAGTTTAGCGTAGATCCGCTGTCAACCAACACCTCCACCAATTTCCCTCCCACTTCAGCCGTGAATGTGATCATCTTCGGACCACGCTTCTTATTCTTAACCATGTGTAATAAGGACTCCTCTCTTAGTTATTCTTCTCCCTCAAATTCCAACAAAAAGACCTCCTTACCCTTGCATCTGTGGCCTGGCGTGAATTTTTCATTGCACGAATAACAAAGCCCTTTTTCTCGCCGTCGTTGCATCTCGTCATCGGTAAGCCGTCGTAGGTTGCTCGTTGTTCGAATAGCTTCGCCCAACGGCTTGCTTTCGGTTCGCGTTGGCTGTTCCTCGGTCGCGACCTGTGTGCGCTTAGTTTCCGTGCGCACGTCGCTTGGCCTCGCCTTGCGTACTGCCACGAGATGATCTTCGTGCAGTCTGGCCGACTCTATAGCCGCACGCATTGATCCTGGCCTGTCCAATCTAACCTCGGCTGCCAGCTCAGCCTTTAGTCCACCAACAAACGTTCCTACCAACGCAGCCTCGGGCCAATCTCGTACCCTACTAGCGATTCGCTCGAACTCTTTTTGATAATCCCTTAGACTACCCACTTGTTTGATCCTTGACAAAGCCTCATTATAATCGTGGTAGTCACTCGAGCCAAATCTCGTGATAAGCTCTTTTTCAAAATCTCTCCATCGCATGTACTCGCCATGGTTTTTGTGCATCATCCACTGCCACCAAACGTTTGCTTCCCCATCAAGGTGATAGGCAGCAATTTGAACTCGTTCATACCTTGGCACATCATTGATCTCAAAAAATTGCACAGCCCGATTCAACCATGCGTCCGGATCTGTCCCCGTAAACGTGGGCATCACAATATTTGGCCGTGTGCCCGCCCCATCGTCCCGTGGATCATCGCGTTCGTGGTATCGGGCACGTCCCTCGTCGCGTCGTTCGTGGCATCGTCGGCCCTCGTGGTAGCGCTCTCGGTCATCGCGTCGTGCCCGACGCTCATCATGTGAAGCCCGCGACGCGTATGATGCGTACGACTGCAGGTCGTCCGCGTCCGCGCGCCTGTGGTCGTGTTGTGCGCGTTCTCCACGCCGTCGCCGGTCGTCGCGTCCTTGATCCGCGTGTGATGCGTGTTAGCCCCGCGATCGGCGATCATGCTCGCGCTCGGTCCCGGTGCTTACTGCCGTGGACCGTGACCCGTGCCTTCTCCTTGGCCGCGTGTTCATGCGCGTGAGTTGCCCGGCCAAGTCCTGAACCATGAGTTCGAT